ATTTCTCTTAATATTTTACTATTCATAAATTCAAATATAAATCTTTATAAAAACGTAAAATCCTTATGTCAACCAAAGAGTTCACTTCATTTTTATAGTTTGCTTTATTCTATTAAACACAGTGACTATAAGTGATTTACCAATGTTCTTTGAATTTACACAGCCAAAGCAACTCAAATTCGTTAAGTTGATAATTTTAGAAATACACTTGCAAAAGAAAAGAAAAGGATGAGAATAAGTGAACTCGTGTGAAAAATAATTAAATATTAAAAAAGTCGATCATCTATGCACGGATCGAATAATTCAATAGAGCCGTGAGTTTATCTATAAGTAATTACCAATTGTAAATTTACTATTTGCTGATATTAATCTTAAGTAAAAAAAATGATTAATATAATATATTATTAGCATTTTTTGCAAAATAAAAGAAACACATAAAAACTATGGTCAAATAACTAATACAAAACAAGAAGGTTATCAAAAGGAGGAAATATTTAAATTTTGCAAGGAAATTAGTACATACATTTTTTTCGAGTTAGAGTATTTCAATTGCATGAGTTGATACACATAACGTATATTTAGATATCAATTTAAGATGGTGTTCAACGGAAAAAATACACATTTTAATACAAAAATAAATAAATATTTATAAGTGTAGCATTTTTTGTAACCTCAATTCAGTTCAACTCAACTTCCCTCCAAATACATTCATCGTAGTTTATACTATTTTTAATTTTTTATATAATATAATTTTTTTTTACTATTTTAGGAAATTTAACTATTTTTTTTAGATCCAAAACTCTAAATATTTTATTAATACAATCCATCCAACATTTTTATATTTTATTGTTAATCTTATTTATAATTTATAACTTAATACGTTTTATTTAAAAGTAGGATCTAAAAAAGTTTGCGTAAAAATAAAAACATGAAAATTAAATTCACATATGACATAAGAAAGCAACAATTGCTCAATGAAAGATTATTTCCGGTTGCTCTCCAAAATTGTAAATTACTTTGGTTTGACGTAACATGAGAGAATTGAACTTGTACTTATGGCGAAACTTAGCATCTCACTTTTTGCTTCTTTAATTTTTTGTTTATAATTATGTTATTATTATAAAATATATATCAATAACTAATCTTTACTAAAAAAGTTGACCGATCATTTTTTAGTGTAGTCTTCCATTTTAATGACATTTTTTTTTTCATTTATAAAACATGAATTTGAGACTATACATAAGAAAATTGGGTTCAGCTTCACCTTGATTACAACTTTTTTATCCTTTAACTCCTTAATTGTGTTTTGGTGTGATGGAAAGGGAATGTGGGAAATAGAATTGATGATATGAAGAAGAGAAAAAAAAAATAGTGAAAAAAATGGTACTTTACAATTCAAATTTAAAAATGTCATTACAATCCTTTTTACATCAACTAGTCGTATAAAAACATTTTTTTATGCTAATTATAATGATGCGTCATAGTCACTGCACTTAACGAAATTAATGATTAATAACAAGAAAACAACTTAAACATATGATTAAGATAATCACAACATATTCATGGATATGTAATAATCCATTGGTATTCAAAAATATAAAGATTTTAAAGGATTGTTGTGTGAGACGAATTTTGAAGGACTTTCTATTGTAAATGATAGTGTCATTGACTTGCTCTATTTCTATGTTCGTTCTCTTTAATTGACTTGCTTTATTTTATTATATGTAGTTGAATTTGTTCCTTTATATAACACAAAAAAATGCTTGAAATTTCAACTTTTAAGTGGTAATTTTTTTATAGCACATGTCAAGAAAAGAAAAATGTGAAAGATGAAATTGATATCATAATCTATATAATATATATATATATATATATATATATATATATATGTGTGTGTGTGTGTGTATGTGTGTGGTAAGCTGAACAACTTGATAACGAACTCAAAGGCTTTGCCCAGGGGTTTTGGAGTAATGATGGGATTGTAAGTTCTATGATTTTCTAATACACCAATTATAGAAAATTAAAAGGATTTTTTGAAATTCATGATACTCACGTAATAATAAGTAAAAACATGTACCTTTCTCCATAATGGAAATCTCCTTTAATCCTTATAATACTTTGATCTTATTTATAAGATAACTAAAATTTCACTCCCTTTGACTTTTCTTTCTACTTTTTTTATCTTTCGTGATAGCCAGAGTTTGAGAGAATACTTTCTTTCAGGGATGTGAACCTTGTTTTAAATTAATATATATTTAGAATCCCTAAAGATTGTTATTCCCATCAAATAACAATTATTTTCAAAATCGATCCATTAAGCTCATTTATGATTTAGTCCCTAATTATTTAATTTTTTACTTATTAGTCCCTTTATACATCACATGTTTCTCACATGAGACATAATTATTTTACAGGGATGTGATTGCGATGCAGCATAATTAGTTGGACTTACAACCTCAAGTCTCACACAAGATGAAGTGGAGGATAAACACTTTGACCTTTTATATGTTAAGACAAATCTTCAATACAGTCATCATATCAAGTAAGTTTTCCTAATCAAAGGACAAAGTTAGGTCAAAGTGATATTTCGATACACTTGTATTAAATAATGTTACTATTTAATGAAATTCATTCATTGTGAAATTTTCAACAAGTTTATATATCTATGACAAATGTTATTGTAGATCACTTTTATACAATGCACTATTTTTCTCAAGCATTAGATTCATCTCAATCCTGCAATAATATGATATAACTACCACAATATTTTTTCTCTCTTCCTTCCCCATTTTCTATCGTACGTGACTCTATAATGTATAAGCTCAAGATCCACAAACAAGATCGTGAATAGGCATGACAATCTAACCCGGCTCCATGGGTACTCGTCCGAACCCGTCCCGATTTGGACGGGGAAAACACATGTTGACTGTGTTCAGATTCGAGTTTGGGTTTTCCTCGATCGATAAAATCAAGGACAGGGAGTAAGGACGAGGATGTTAATACCTACCTTGCCTCCGCCCCTACCCCGCTTAATAATATAATAAAAAATTTATTTATATATATATATAAACCAAAATTAAAAATCTTTATATGTAAAAATTTGTATTATCTTACTTTTCTTTTATTTTTTATTTATTTTTCCATATTTATTAGAAATAAAAAAAGAAGAAAAAAAAGGTCCAGGAGCAAGGGTGGGTAAGGAAACTCGAACGCCGTTGGGGACGGGGATGAGTACCAAAATTTTACTCTTAGAGAGTATCGAGGACGAGTGTGATTTAAATTTGTGGGAACGAGGACGAGGACGAGGATGTTAATACCCGTCCCTGTACCCATTCCCGCCCTGCCCAGTTGGCATGCGTAATCGTGAAAAAAGAATGTTACCAACTTCAAAACTAAATTGGTAATGATTTCCATGTGTATAGAATTTAACTAGTTGAGTGGAGGGAAACATCTTAAAAAAAAGAAACAAGGCTTAGATTTTCTTTGGTGTTATCCATGATTTGAAACACTAGTCCACCAATAGGACCATTATAACACTATTGATAATAGGTTCCAGTTCCATATTTGACTCCTTTCGTGCTACTATGCCACCTTAGAGTTATTCCACAATAGTTTGAGATCAATGTCACTTTCAAAGTTCTCCAATTGCTAAAGTGCTCTTGCGAACCACCTCCGAAGGTCCAAGCAAATGGGTATAGGTTGTCCTCAAGGGTGCCTTCGACCTCCAAGATCCACACCTACTGCACTCAAATTTGAGAGGTCAACCACCTCCTCTTTAGCTATTGTTTTGAGAACAAAGGAGTGGTGGGGAAGAAAGAAAAAATAAATAAAGCGAAGGTGTATTGTATTATTATAGGACTTGGATGAATTCAATGCTCAAGAAAAGTTTTACACAGTAAACCATTTATAAAAATGGTTCAAGGTAACATCCGTATGTGTGTATATCAACAATGTATATAAATAAACTCTTGAATAAAAAACAAAACAATTTTGATATCAATGCACTAAGTTTAATTTCATCAACAAGTTCATATTACTTAATTTTAAATGTCTAAAAACATATTTAAAAATTCCTTAATCTGTTTTTTTAAACACCACTCTTTCAAACAATTTGATTTTAATACTGTACAACCTTTTATTTCATCCCTCATTTAAAATGTAATTCTCTCATCAATAAAAAATATTAACAACGATAATCGAATTTAAGTCATCATGTATTTATTCTATCCATATTATTGGTAGACTGACTTCAATGATTAATAACTAATTTAATTTAATCCAAATGTAACAAAAATAACTATTTTTTTATACTAAAAATATCTCTTTCTCATTAGTAAATTTTTTTGAGAAATGACAATTACCTATCAGAATGAGTTTTGTCTTTTCTACACATATGAATTGAAGATTGAACCATTATCAATACACTTAAAATTCAACTTTTTTTTATCGATTCTGCTGCACCTTATCCA